TCCTAGTCTCAACCATAAACGATGCCGACTAGGGATTGGCGGAYGTCTATTGGATGACTCTGCCAGCACCTTGTGAGAAATCACAGTTTACGGGTTCCGAGGGGAGTATGGTCGCAAGGCTGAAACTTAAAGGAATTGACAAAAGGGCACCACCAGGCGTGGAGCCTGCGGCTTAATTTGACTCAACACAGGGAAACTCACCAGGTCCAGACATAGTAAGCATTGAGAGATTGAGAGCTATTTCTTGATTCTATGGGTGGTGGTGCATGGCCGTTCTTAGTTGGTGGAGTGATTTGTCTGGTTAATTCCGTTAACGAACGAGACCTCAGCCTGCTAAATAGCTACGCGGGGACCTTTCCTCGTGGCCAGCTTCTTAGAGGGACTGTTGGACGACTAGCCAACGGAAGTTTGAGGCAATAACAGGTCTGTGATGCCCTTAGATGATCTGGGCCGCACGCGCGCTACACTGATGAATCCAACGAGTCGCTTGCCTGGGTCGAAAGGCCCGGGTAACCTTCTTAAGGTTCATCGTGACGGGGATAGATTGTTGTAATTATCGATCTTGAACGAGGAATGCCTAGTAAGTGCGAGTCATCAGCTCGCGCTGATTACGTCCCTGCCCTTTGTACACACCACCCGTCACTCCTACCGATTGAATGGTCCGGTGAAGTGTCTGGATTGTGGTGATCTCGGCGGTTTGCCGCTCAAGGTGCTGTGAGAAGTTCATTGAACCTTATCATTTARAGCAAGGAGAAGTCGTAACAAGGTTTCCGTAGGTGAACCTGCGGAAGGATCATTGACACGTGAACGACCGATCTTCGGGGTGTGGGACGCTGGCTTGCTCGCCCTTCTGCCGCCCTTTGCCCCCATCCTCCCTGCATCCGCTTTTCTCTTCCGTTTCAGCACAATCTTGGGCTTAGTGCCCAGCTGGCGGCTGGCCCGGCGCAGAGGGGGTGTGGTGTAGGTCGAGGGTCGGGGGAGTGGGCACGGTCCGGGGCCTTGTGGCGTTGCTGCCCCTTCATCCCGTCTCGCCTCGGCAGGTTGTTACCTCGGCCCAGCCCTACTCTCGACTTCTGGTTGGGATGGCGGTTGGTCCGGGCACGGACAACCCTGCGGGAGGGTCAGGGGCGGGATGTGGTGATGGCAGCTGTCCTCGGCCTGCATACCCCTGTTCGTTCCCGTCTCAGCTTTGCCCAGACCTCCTTTCCATCCTGGCCTCAACCTCGGCTTCGTGCGGAGCTTGTGGCTTGTTTGCGGATCGAGGGTCGTGGTAGAGGCTAGGGGTGGGGTGTGTTGCGGGGTCCTCGGCCCCTCCCCGTTTCGTCCTGCCTTCCTTCCCAACGGGGTTCTCCTTTCCAGGCAGATCGGCGTCCTCGACACAGTCGAGGTGGTCTGAATCGCGGGGTGGAGGGCCGTTGGGGGAGGGTTTTGGTCGTGAACGGGGCGGTGTCGGGTCGGGGGGGGAAGGAGACAGCGCTTGCACCCTCGTTGCCCCGCTGCTCCCCGGTGCCCTGCCTGGCCCCCCGAACGAGGGGTCGGACGGGCCCGTGGCAGTGGGCGGTGGCGACGGCTTTGCAACTTCTTATTGATGTACCTGCTCTGATTTGTCGCTGGTTGACGGCCCCCTTCTGTTCTGGTTGAGGGGTCGGTCCTGTCGGAACGGCACCATATTGTAGAACTCTCGGCAAACGAATATCTTGGCCCTCGCAACGATGAA